CCTCCTGGCATTTTTGCCTGACTTCCTCTTTGTAGGGATGCATTGCTCCTGAGCTTGGAGGAGGTGATCCTTGAATATTAACTAGCTTTCTTGGGCCCGTTTTCCCTCCAGGGCTTTATCCCATGGTACTCTACCAAGCAGATCCCTGAAGAGGCCAAAGTCTGTTCTCCTGAAGTCCAGGGTAGTGAGCTTGCTCTGCACCCTCCTCGCTGCCCTAAGAACTCCACCATTTCATGGTCACTGCAGCCAAGGCTACCCTTGAGCTTCACATTCCCCACCAGCCCCTCCTTGTTGGTGAGAACAAGGTCCAGCATAGCATCTCTCCTTATTGGCTCCTCTATCACTTGGAGAAGGAAGTTCTCATCAACACATTCCTGGAACCTCCTGGATTGCTTATGCATTCAGACACATTGCCACAAGGCAGAAGAGAACTGAGGCTTGTTAGGACAGGGAGGGGCATGGTCCAAGGCTCTGGAGACACTGAAACATTTCACAGTAAGCATGACTGGAAATGGAGAATGCATAGGCATTTTTATGATGTAGTAAAACAGAGTGACAGTTTAACTTTCTGTCTATTCAGCATGCAGACAAATGTTTTGCAAGTGTAAAATTCTGCTTAATGTGACAGAGGGTCAAAGTTGGTTCTAGTTGTAGGTAAAGGTTTACATTGGTTACTAGGGGAGTAGATAGATAAAGCATTGAACTAGATGCAGCTCTGCTGCTTATTTTGAGTACACCAGAGCCTGGAAAAGCTATCACTCCTGCTGTGGTCACCTTGTGGGGAATGATTCCTAATGCAAAGACCTGCTCCCAGATGCAGCAGAACTTGCTTTTATCCTTCTTCTTCTCCACTTTCTCTAACACTGTTAAAAGCAGAAAGCGTGGGTCTCCGGAACCCTTTCCTTATCATCTCTCTCTCCCTTCTCTGTCCCACTACTACTCCTTCTAGTGGCAGGACGCTCAGCCCTTACCCACTGAGGGAGAAATTTGATAAGACAAGAGGATCACTGGTCGGGGTGCAAAATGTGCCAAGAAGTTGTGTTACAGAGGAAGCAGCTTATTTTGGAACATTCCTACAGTTCTACTTCTATTAGCAATTTGACAGCTTCCAGATGGAAGCAAACAGCTGAAATGAACTAACCATTCATCATTTTATAATTCTTACCTCTCCTCATTATAATCATGTGTGAAGCACTGTGTTGTATTTAATTCAAATGCATCAAATGTGACAACTTGGGAATACTGAAAACAAATTTGAGTTGTGTTTATGGTACCATGACAATGTGTTGTGAAATTAATCAATTACATTGAATTGGGTAAATTACAATAAAAATTAGATTTTTAAAAAAATACTTATTTCCACCTCTGTTTAACAGATTTCAGACAAAGGCTGTCATTTCTTCTTTTGAAATTTATTGACTTTATTAAAATAATAAAACTTCACAGTGTCAAGGGGAAAGGAACAAATACCCACAGGACTTTTTAACTGCTGAAATGTTGAATTGCTTCTTACAATTGACTGTATATATGGAAAAGACATTTTCCTTTGTAAAACTCCACTTTTTAGTAGTAAATACTTCAAAATGAAAACTTCAAAGCTGTGTTTTATTCAGTGTATTTACTGAAGAGCAATATACTTGATGCCAAACTCAAAGCAGCTAGTGATTCTGTACACACACACATTGTTTTATATGATCTCTTTAAATAGACTCATTGTAATAATGTGATGGGTTCTCTTCTCCAAGTTACCATTTTACAGAAAATAATATCCTTTCAGAGAAAACAATACTATGACTTTCCCTTCAGAAGTGCCATGGGGCAAATATAAAATCTTTACCAGCATTACTGACATATTCAAGCACCTAGAGTAAATCTCTGCGCGTAACTATTTTAAAAGAAAGCATAGTATTAAAAGGAATTTAAAAAAAAGGATACTGAAGAGTTACCTTTCTTCTTTTCATTATCAAAATAAAGAGAGCTGAGAAGTCAGATGCAAAAGGCAATCCTGCCTTGGAGACCTTTCCTAAAAGTGACTGAAACAGATATTTTTGTAATTATACTTTGCCCTAAAATTGTATATTATGAAATACTGTTACATGAACTATATTGAGCTCTGGTTAAATAAATTAATAAATAAGCCAGAAAACTAGATGCTACTCAAACTTCAGCAAATTATACTTTTTGAACTTGAAAGAATAACTGCTCAGCTGGAGAGAAATTCTGAAGGAACAAAAAAAAGGGAAAATAATTCAGTAAGTAATTTCCTTCATGGTATGGAAGATGAATGAGCCTGAATTCACATAATGTTTGGCATTCTGAAGTGAATTAGTCAAGTATGTAAATAAGTGTTTAGATATCTGAATAATGCCCTTAATTTCAGTGGAACTCTTCCCTGTCTAATCTTATATTTAAGTGCTTTTCTCATCAGATAAAAATTGTTAAATTGACTTCTTAAATAACATTGTTTTATATGTATAGAACAGACAAATAGGAGGTTTTGTTTATATTAGTGCAGGAATGAAAGAAACCCTGAGAGAATGGAAGCAGACTATTAGAAAGCATTTAAGAATTTTCCAGTTCATTGCTTCTTGGACCAAATCACTTTGGACACTTTCTTGATTTTTTTCCCTAGAAGAGAAACAATTGCCGTTAGCCTATGTCGAAATTTCTGTCTCTACAATGATTGGATTAAACAAAATAATGATTTATAAAATGTTAGTCTATATTAGATGTACTTCAAAGTTTCTCAGTGTTTTAAATAATGTTACATTTATCGGAATGTTGTAAATATGATGGAAAATTAATTTCAGTTGTTATGAATAGGATATGTCAAAATTACTAATCCTATGTTTCTTAATTCAGTGGTGGGATAATATTTAAAAAAGTATATATGAGAAAATGCCAATTCTTTATCTTTTTTCTTTCCTTTTTTTTCAGCTGTGTCTTGTGGTATTCCTGACTCCCCTGGGAATGGTTCAGTTATAGGTAATGAATTCACTTTGGGCAGTAGATTGATATATGAATGTAATGAGGGCTTCAAGCTAGAATCCAGTCAACAAGCAACAGCAGTGTGTCAAGAAGATGGATTATGGAGCAACAAAGGGAGGCCACCTGTTTGCAAATGTAAGTGGACATGTATTTCTCAAGCATATTTCCCTTGAACTTTCTCAGGAAAATCTTCACTGGTGATATTTAGGTTTTATGTATACATATGCCCTGAACTGGCCATTCAGGAATGTATAATAATTTAGCATTTAGTATAGTAGAAGAGGCCTGTAAATTTGCTTATTAAAAAAACCTCCTTGTTTGTCTTCTTCAAAAATCTGAATTCAACTTATTAGATAATTCAGTTTCATGTATATTTTCTTATTATGAATAATGTGCGCTTCTCCATTTTCACAGTAAAAGTTTAATATACTTTCTAAAGTACTAAAAGCAAAAACTATTTCTTAAAATACTGCTAGTGTAGATAATTAAGCTGGGTAAGAGTCCTTTAGTCTTCAATTTTGCTGCCTGTCAGAAGTAGCCAGTGTAATGCAGACTCCTCTACCATGTGATAGGGCCTCTCATTTGCATTGGGCTACCTTGTCTTTATACTGGATAAAAGCAATAATTAACTGAGTATGACTTCAAGTATGTGACCTGAAATACTGATTAGGACATAATCTTAAAATTGTTAATTGCTATAATACTATATGTAAAATTTTTGAGATTTTGTTTAGAATCTTGAACTAATCAACAGTATATGTATGTGCTTTCCAGATTCTGAATTTGAAAACCATGTTCTAAGTTTTTCAAACACGTAAAATTCAACTTATTTTTAAAGAAAGAGTAAAATGGTATGAATATAAAAATTGCAAAATTATACACGATTGTGAAATGGTTTTCATTTGAATTAGTTGACAGCAAACAAATGTTAGAAAATATTGCTGAAAGTTACTTCAAGAGATCTTTTAAGCATCCCTGACAGATGCTCATTTAACCTAATCTTGACCTTCCCGATTACACTATTTCAGTAATTGACTTTTTTTTTTTGCCTTGCAAAGTGTTTCCTGAATATAACCTGTTTTTCTGTAGTGTAAAGGCATTATTTCTTTTTGTATCCACAGTGGTCAAACAGAAGTTATTTTTTTCTTCTTTCATTCTTTTTATTGTGTTTGAAAACTGTGGGTTTTGTCAAAAAGTGTGGTGGGTTGACCTTGGCCAGCAGCCACACCCTCACGCAGCTGCTCACTCACTCCCCCTTTTCAACCAGACAGGGGGAAAAATAGGATGAAAAATCTTGTGTCTCAAGATAAGGACAGAGAGTACTGTCACAGGACTTGGGGAAAATTAGTTTAATGTATTGGCAATTAAAATAAGGTCAAATATGTGTCAGGAGAAAAAAAAATATTAAACCAGTACTTTCCTCCCTCTGTTCCCAGGGTCAGCTTCACTCCCTTGCTCTTGACTCTTCTCCCCACCCCAAGCAGTGCTGGGGGAGGAGGAGTGGGAGTTGTGATCGGTTTATAAAAAGCTCCTCTCTCCTGCTCCTTCCTCCTCGCACTTTTCCTCTGCTCCTGCTTGGGTCTTCTCCGCAGGCTGTTGTCCTTCAGGATAAACTTGCTCTAGCGTGGGTCCTCCATTGGCTGCAGTTCATTCAGAAAATATCCCCCTGCTCCAGTGTGGGCTGCAGTGTAGATACCTGCTCTGGCATGGTCCTCTCCATGGGTTGCAGCAGAATACCAGCTCTAGTGCCTGGAGCACCTCCTCCTCCTCCTTCTCCTCCTCCTCCTCCTCCTCCTTCTTTTGTGACCTTGGTGTTCCCTCTGCTGCGTCTCACTCTTTTTGTACCCTCCTCCTCAGCCTGTGCAGGGGTTTACCCTTTCCTAAATACACTTTCCTAGAGGTGCCACATCTTGGCTGATGGGCTCAGCTGTGTCCTGTGGTGGGTCCTTTGGAAGCGGCTGTGTCCAGCAGCCCAAGGCTGTCCTCACAGAGGTCACCCCTGCAGCACCTCCCCGCCCTCCCCAGCACCTTGACTCCTGCACCCCGTACACCTAGTCACCCCGTCCGCAGAGATAACTGTCTTGCTGTGATTCATTCTCACTCCTTCATTCTTTTTGGGCCGGCGATTCTCATTATTGTCCTCTGGACATTCTCCAATTGATCTACACCTTTCTTGAAGGACAATGTGTAAAACTGAATACAGCAGTTCCACAGAGTACATAAGGAGGGTTATTCCAAACCAGCTGTGATCACACAGACGTGCTCTGAATTCAGAGCCATGTCTGGAGGGACAGTGGTGCTCCAGTGTACTGAACTGCACTTCATTCTCTCAGAAAAAGTTGACAAGGTACAAAGAACGTAATTTGAATGATTAATCAGCAGAAATATAAACAGATTTTTTTTGGAGGGAAGAGGCCAGTTAAACTAACTGGGGATTAAAAATACTGAATTAATAACACTATATCCGCAGTACAAAAGTAAAAAAAAACCAACAAAACAAGCTTGTATTATTGAAATGATCAGACTGAACCAGACAATGACTACCCTGTAAAACAAAGCTTAATTATTAACATTTAGCACAAGTTTCAACATTAAAAATTTTGTTTAATATTTATAATAGCCTAACAAATTATATATAACAGTCTTTTCTTTTTTCCTTTTCTAAAAATGTATTCAGTTTGAAAAAGAATCCCATTACTTCTAAAACCAGAAGTGCTAAATTAAAATGCTAGTGATCTACATGTGAATATTAAAGTCAATATTTTCAAAATGGATTGCTATTCAGAAGCAGGCATGTTTTACCCAAGGTTTCGTACTTGCAATGTGCAGAAAAGCTTAGACAATCTGCATAACAACCTGTTTTTGTAGTATTGCTGCTGTAAGGATAAATGTATTTAGTCCCCAGACATAGAAACATCTCAGACTTGATGAGCAGCGAAGACAGCACAGAAAGGTAAATGGTAAATAAATGAGTTCATTTTATCCCCAGGTCTATTAAAATGAAGGTTGAAATCAGTGCAGTTTGTTTTGCAAAGTATCTCTGGTAATATAATGCCCGAGGCAGATGTTTGAAACTCCTTTCTTTTCATTAAAAGTATTTACATCAGATTTAAATCATGAGAAATATGATTCATGCTGGTCATACAGCAAGACACAGATGGATCATAGACGTTAGGCTATTGAATTTAATTACATGAAATATCAATCAACAGATATCTATTAAGAAAGCTTAACTGAATGGCAAGGAACTTGCTTCAGTTATTCTACACAGATCTCTAGTACACGATGGAGGGAACTAGAGATGCCTATCTGTATTACTATTTGAAAGCCTTTATCAGGCAATACTTTAAACCAGGCCAATACTCTCTTTAGAGAGTGACCATGTAGTAGTAACTTTACATATCAATACAGAACACTGTATAAAGTATGCAAAAACTTTCTACTGAAACCTGTAAATTAGTACATTACTGTTGGCCAGAGGAGTGAGTGTCATATACAGTTCCAAAAAACATACCATCCAAAAGGTGTAGATATATCCAAGAAATCTGAATAAAACAACTTTGGTCTCCAACTACAGATGAGTACTGGTGCTTGTATGATTCTTCCCTTACTGTATGCCACATAAACTGCCTCTTAACACTTTTTACACCAACTAATATCATTTGGATAATGCTTAAAAAGAAAGGAAAATAAGTACAGACATGATTACAAATTTAAGGTTTTAAGTTATAGCTATAGTTAGCTGAGAAACACTGTTTTACCTATTACCAGCAGTTTTACACACCTGTAAAGTACTCTTCTGAAGTCATAAGTTTCCATCTTTCTAAGATTAAAAAAAAAGAAAGAGAACAATCTTTTGGGAATTTTTTGTTTATTCCATTTCATCAGATATGATTTGAATTTTGTCTGATACTGTGGAAATACAGATGCTGATTCTTGCTGTGACAAGTTAAAAAGGGAGAAGAACACAAATGAAATATCCTTCTTCTCCTTTGGATGATGAAATCTTTTGCTATTATTATATAGAATTACATCATTATAGCATGATTATTACATTTTGTTTATGACTAATTAGTGAAAATTATTCTTCTTATTATTTACTGCCTTACTTTCTTCAGAATATATATCATCAAGTACAGAGAAATCAAGTCTTCCAAAGCAGAGACTTAAAGATGGAAACAGAAAAGGACTTAGCGTCAATGCAAAATTAGATGTGTTTCTCCCTAAATTCAATCCAGAGCCACACTTGGATATTTAAGATATTTACTGAATAGAGAGATTCATGCTTGGAATAGTATCTGTAACTATTTTGTAAAGAAACAAAGTCATCTAAATGTGTTGGTGAGGGTCAATCTATTTATCTAAGACACTTGTTTGGTTTTATATTTTTTATTTATATTTTCAAATACATTTCACCATGTGTTTGTTTTCCTGTGTGTCTTTCTCCTCCTGTGAAATTCCTCTGATTTAGAAAACTAGATTTTTCAGTGTTCTAGATGTGATTTTCCTTTTTCATCTTGTACAGGATTTTGGGGGTTTGGATACAAAATTTCAGAACTGATAGAAATGAGAACAGAAGTAGTACACATTCTTTCCTGGACATCCTTGTGGCTTGGACTATCTCTTTACATTTCATATGCTAAAGATGACAGATAAGAATAGTTATCTTTTGGGGAGCTAATATATTTTCTTAGGGTTTTTGATTTTGTGGACACTTGACACTGACTTTCTTAATGAAATAGGAATATTGGTCTCAATATTGGGTTCTCCCTCCACAGCAATTGAACTTCTTAGTTGACACCATTAAAGTTTGTTCATAGCTTGAATGTGTTGTTGTTTACTTTTTCTCTGAATAATATAGAGAAACAGTTGGTTTAGACCATTCTTAAGAATTGAAAGAACTAGAAAGAATGAGCTGTGCCTCACTGTGTCAGGAGTAGAAAATGCATGACGTGATAAGGAGAAGCTACTGAAAAAATTGGTATGAGGTCTAAATCAATGAAGGAGGTCATACTAAGCCTGTCCTGAAAAAAAAAGATAACTTCTTTCTCTGTTTAGTATGTATACTTCAGTGCTATTAGAGAGTTTGTATTTCCTTGTTCCAAAATTCATGTTCCGTGAAAAGAAAACTCGGT